CCTGCTTGTGTTCCCTCTCTCGCTGTGTCTCTCTCTCTGTCAAATAAATAAATAAAATCTTTAAAAAAAAAAAAAAGAAAAAAAGAAAAAATGCAGAATGCGGAATATGTATCATGAATAGTTTCATGTTGATTCCACCTTAAAATGATCATGTTTTGGAAAGATCATACTAATAAAGTATGTTATTAAAATTAACATCCCTAGTTTCTTTTTACCCTTTATCATGTGACTTTTAGAGAAGTTTAAATTACAGATGTGGCTTGGATTCTACTTCGGTTGGACTCGTATTCTATTTCTGTTCTAGTTCTCTCGTATTCTAGATCTGTGATCCAAAAAAGCTGTGGCTCAGGGAAAGTAGGTGACTTGCCCAAGGTCACACAGCTAAAAAGTCGCAGAGCTGGGATTCGAAGCCAAGTCTTCACAGGAGCTGAGCACCTCTCGAGACCGCGACGGGTGTGAGGCCACAGTATCCTTCCTGTTCGAGGGCTTAGTCTCGAATTCCCGCCCCACACCCCCTGCCGTAGTAGTCACGCAAGGAACCGGACCTGCAGAGGCTGGACATGGATTTGTTGGGATCAATAGGGACAGAAGTGATTGATGAGCTTGGACAGATGGGAGCAAGCCAAGAGCCCCCGTTCTCCCATTCACGCATTTGAATTGCTTTTTCCTAATGTTGACTGACCTGTGGCTCCCTCAGAAGGGAGGAGCAGGGCTCCTGATGCCCATACCTCGGATGGACACACTGATGCACAAGGTCTCCCTGGGATGGTGGGGGGCACTGCAGGTCTCAGCGAGGTCCCTGGCCTCCCACCCCTTCCCTCTACTTTTGCTCACCTTCCTTCCTCCAGCGGAGCAGATAGCTGCCGAGGGCCACCAGGCCTGCGGCCAGGAGGAGGGCCAGCAGCACCAGGCCCGGGGCCAAGATGCGGATCTTTGGGATGGAGACCCTGTGGGTGAGATGGAAGGAGCCCAGCAGGTGTCACCAGAGAGCTGTAGCATGCTGTGCACATGGCATTCTTCGTCTGTGTCCCACTCATGTCCCTTGTCTTTCCCAAAGAGATCAGAGGGCACCGGGGACCACAGCACCTGGTCAGTCCCACTGGGAGGGACCCCAGCCCCCACTACCAACCCCAGGAAACGCTCTCAGCTGGTCTGAACTTGGCAGCAGTTACCTGGATGCCTCAGGCAGAAAGCCTCCGTCAGTAACTGAGTGCAATGATATATAACGCCCAAGAACCAATCCTTCAGGCTGTGGTTCCAGTTGGGTAAGAAAAAACCTATATTCATGCTCGGCACAGCGCCCAGTGCAAGGTGCGCCGGGGAAACTGGGGTGGCTGCCCCTGTGGCTGGGGCGGGGGAGAGAGGTGGGGACTGGGGCCACGGGGGACCCTTCACTTCAGGTGGGCCTGGGTGTCCAGAGCAACAGGGTTGCCGGCTCTGCAGTTCAGGTCGTCCACTGCTCAAGGGCCCTGCGGAGGGGGGATGGGGGCCGAGTCTGCCCTCTGTGCTGCTAGCTGCGGCCCTGACAGGAGGCTGTGCTCGCCTAGAAGAAGGAGTGCCAGGTCCTCACTTGCTCCAGGGCACCTCATGTTCTGGGGATGGCCTGAAAGGTGACCTTGGTCACCCTGGGCTCACCTGGACATGGAGCTGCTGCTGCTGGGGGGCAGATGGGTGTCCTCCGCGGAGGTGGAGTCCAGCTGTGTGAATGGACGGGATGTTCCTGCATGAGGAGAGGTTGCTTCATGAGGAGAGGTCCCCGCGTACGGAGAGGTTCCTGGGTCTGGGGAGGTTCCTGCGTGCCCATACGGGGGGGTCCCCGTGAACGGAGAGGCCTCGGCCCCTGTCTTCCCCTGCTTGGTTGTGGTGACTGTTTGGTGGAGACCAGGAGAAGCTACAAGTCCAAAAGCAGCGCCTCAGCACCTTCTCCGACCCTTGAGGCCCAGCATTCCCCAGACCTCTGACCCTTGACCCCTGAGCCCTAGCCTCCCCAGGACCAATTTCTCAGAACTTCCCCAGCTAAAGGACCCCCCAGGAAGCAAAGAGAGGCCTGGATGAAGCCATTGTGAGCAAGGCGACCATGTCTCAGGCACGCCCCACACCCGCGCGTGGTTCTCAGCCCCCGTCCGTGCCCGCTGCTTGGGTCATCACGGCCCTGAGCCCACTCCGGGACCCATTCCAGCGGCCACGCAGTACACAGAGGCCCGCCTGCTTCCCCTCCAGTCCTGGCCACTTACAACTGCAAGTCGCCACATGCCCACCCTCACCACCTCTGCTTCAACAGGCCTTGACTTCCTTCAACAACCATGGGGTCAGCAGGGCAGGGTGGCAGGGGCAGGTCCAGAGGTCAGGGTCCAAGGCCCTACCTTTCCTGTTCAGCCCTCCAACCCCGGGGGGAGCAGACAGAACACAAGCCCGGAGGTCAGGCTGCGCCTCTTCCCTGGGCTCTGCTGCTCCTTGGGTGACCTGACCCCATGGGGCCCCTGATTCCTCCGCGGACAGTACAGCTCCCAGGCTCTGGGGGCCACGGAGCGCAGTGTCTGGCTACAGGCAGGCCCTCACTGGATGCTGCTTTACAGAGAGGTGGAGGAGAGACAGGAAAACCATTCACTCACTCAATTCTGGGGGCTCAGTTTGCCAAGCTTTTGCCTTGGGCTGGAGGCTCCTTGTAGTAAGAGGCTGGAAGGAGGGAGTGGGGGAGGGAGGACAGCAGGGACCTAGGGGAAAGGGAGAGGTTGGTCTCAGGGGAGGCGAGGATCACCACTATGAGCCAGATTTCCTGCCTTGGTGGCAGCCAGGAGCTTTCCTGCCCCCACCTCTCTGCTCAGAGTCTCCACTATCTCCTCCCCCCAGCCACTTAGGAGTCACGGATGGAAGATTCTAGTCGATTGCTGGCCTCCCCCTCCTGCAGTCCCCTTGGCCTCCCACTTAGCTCAGACCTTCGGCTTCCCTTGTCCCCAACTGCCTGCCAGTCTGCTCTTTCCACGCCACTCTTCACACCAATACTGGTTTTGTCTCTAGAATATGGGTCTGGATATGGGATACTGGATTCCATCGCTTCTTGCTTCAGAACTGTTTCAATGGCCCTCACTGTCTATGAGCTGAAGCTCAAGCTTCTCACAGGCCTTTCAAAGCCTTTCAAACTCAGACCTCAGTTCACCATGTCGGCTTCACCTCTTCGCCATCCGGGGCACCAGCCAGTCCTCTATTTGCCCTCTATTCCCAATGAAGTGAGCATCCTGCCCACCTCCGTGCCTTTGCCGTGCTGTTCCCCTCTGTGCCATGCCTCTCCTCTCCACCTCTGCCTGACACACTTTTTTCTGTCCCCGAGAGGCTGGGATCCCTCAAGGATGAGATGCCTAGCCTCTGTGCCTGGCAGAGTGGGCAGAAATGTGGTGTGGCCAATCCCCCCTGGAACCGCTGGGTTCCCTGCCCACCCTCCCCCTGCCCCCGGGTGCCCCTCGGTTACCTCCTTGCTGGAGTGCCATCTGGGACTCGCTCCCTGTCCCCATCATCCTCTATTTATTTTTTATTTTTATTTTACTACAATTTTTTATTAACATATAATGTATTATTTGTTTCAGGGGTACAGGTCTGTGATTCATTCTCTATTCTAATACGAGGTCAGGTTTTCTCTGATTTTTCTGAGTAAATGATCAAATCTTGTGCAAATAAGGAGTATTTATCTTTTCCTATCCGATATGTATACTTCTTTATCTTGTCTTATTTCATGGCCTACAGCCTCCAGGCAATGGGGAATAAAAGAAACGATAGTGGATACTCTTGTCTTGTTCTGACTTTTCTAGAAATTCTGACCTGTCCCCATACTCAGTGGTGTGCTGCAGACAGCTCCCACTGACTTGGGAGAGCTGTTTACTTTTCAGGAATTTTGTGAGCTTATCGGTGGCTGGAAATTGGGGAGGGCGGGGGCATTTAAACCACAGAAACCGACAGACCTTGCAAATCAGAGCTTCCCCAGCTAAACATTCACCCACGCACCACTGTCATTAGCCTTTATTTCCTGTACCCCCAAATATCATCAGAGAAAGGTCAACAATGTCTGACACAGGATAACATAATAATGCACATATCATGCACAAATGAATAATTATAAATGAGGTAAAAATTTAAAATAGCCTCAAATATAGCTAAAATTGATCCCCACTAGGTAAGAAGGAGGTCTGAATACTGATAAGAATCAGAGGAGACCAGAGAAGCTTGTAAATAATGGAGAACAGGTTCAATATGGTTATGATACTGCTGTTATTATTTGGTGAGCTTATTTCTATCTCCTTGAATTAAAATAAAGACCCATGCATGTCAGGGATCTGACAGTGGGGACCGCCTGGGGATGGGGTGGGTCCAAGATGGGGCCAGGGGAGGGAAAGAGCAGACACCAAAGTGAGAAAAAAAGCTGGATTTGAATCCTGGCTCCATCACCTCCTGCCATGAAACCTCAGGCAAATCATTTCATCTCTGGAGCCTCGGGCCCCCATCTGTGAAATGGGATACAAAGACCTGCCTCACCCTCACTGGCCAGCAGACTGGGGCTGCCCACTCCCCTGGGCCATCTCTGGCTTCTCTCTTCTCAGCTCGGCAGATCCAGTGGGGCTCTGGGCATCCAGAGAGATGTTCCATCCCCAGCCAGAATCCCCTAGTGTCCCTGAGCTCAACAAACTCCTCCTCCGAGGCTAGATCCCAGGCCCTCCTCATACCTGCCTTTGGGACCTCAAGATCTGGGGAAGGGAAGCAGGAAGGGAGAGCTGAGACCACGGGCAGGGTGAGGCCAGTGTGGCCATGGCTGGGGGGCGGGGGGGGGGCGCTGTGGAGTGGGTCTGGGATGCTGCACAATGGTGGGCCCGTCCTGCAGGATCCTCAGGAATATCTCTGACTCCAAAGAGGGAGTCTTTTTTGTTCTGTGGGCTGCCCATTTCATCCCCAGCCCATGCAATCTCTCTCCCACATCTGGGCAAAGAGGAAAGGCACTGAGCAGGGAGTTCAACAGATCTGCGTGGTGTGACCTTGTCAAAGAGCAGCCGAGGGTCATGCTGCACTGCTTCTACTCCCATGACGGCCAAGCACTTGACCGGCATCATCTCACTGAGCCCCCGCCCCCCCCCCCCGGAGGTTGGTACAAGCACTACACCTGGGGGCGAGGAGGAAACGGGGTCCGGCACTGATCAGCGGCCCACCCGTCCCTCTTCCCTTCTGTGTCATCTGTCTCCCATCCAGAGAAGCAGAGACATGTGTTACCTGGAAAGACAAGCAGAGAGACCAGGAAAGACTCATCTCGGCCCAGTTTGGAGACCCCACAGAAGTACTTCCCGGTGTCCTGCAGGGTGAGATTCCTCAGGGTCACGTGGAGCGTGAGCGTCTGGGGGCTGTCTTGGATGGACACCCTGTCCTCTCTTGTCTCCTTGCCATTTTCTCCCGCATAGACAGTACCCGAGCAGCGGGACAGGAAGAACCCCTTCTCCTTGCACCAGTATTTCTGGTGTGTCCTCAGCTCCTCCTGGTAGGTGCACTGCAGGGACACCGTGTCGCCTTCAAACGCAGTGATCTCCTTGGGGCCCAGCACGGCTCCATAACCTGAAACCATAGCAGGGACAGAGGTCAGAATTCCGTGGATTCAAGTTCCAGGGTCAAGACCAGAAGACTCCTCCTCAGTCACTCCCTTCTGCGGCAGCCCTGGAAAGAGCTGGTGGTCTCTTCCCCACCAAGGGAAACTGGGACAGGGCCGTTGCTGTTTCCCTAAAATCGGCATACGGAAGGAAGGGTGATGATGGGGCAGCTCTAGATTCGGACAGCCAGGATTTGGAATTCCAGCACTGCCACCTGGTAGCTGTGTGACCTTGGGGAAGTTACTTGCCCTCCCTGGGCATCTGGGTTTTCCCATTTATAGATGATGATGATGATGATGATGATGATGTCTTAGTTCACTGAAATTAAGATGCTATCATACGTAAGATACACCATAATTTTATATACCACTAAAAAAATCACCGTCACTTGAACAATTGTCATCCGTTACAAGATGCATCCTGATATTTGATGTTAAAAAGTTGAAGAGGCAGACCTGTGAACTGATGAAACAGCAAAATCCCTTATCTCTCAGGGTTGTTGTGAGTGAAACAGCAAAATCCCTTATCTCTCAGGGTTGTTGTGAATGGAACAGTAGAGGCTCAAGAAATATTTGCAGAGTCTACCATGGCAACCACGTAGGGGTTGTCTTGTCTGCCTCCAGGCTGGGTGTAGAGTAGGAAAATAAGAATGAGAGAGGTAAAGCCCCCTTCCTAGCCACCTGAACATGAAGGGTTTGGAACCAGAGGTCTGGGAGAAAACCCGGCTCTGCGTTCCAGAAACAGCAAGTGCCTGCCCCCGCCCCCCCTCTGCAGACTGAGAACCAGTGCGGTGGAGGCGAGACCTGGAAGGATCAGGCAGCAGTGGGTCAGAAGAATGAAAGGTAGGTTCAGGAGGTCCTCTCTCTGCCAGCTTGGGCATGAGCCCCACATCCCTCCACTCCTCCCTCTCCTGCCCCATCTCACCTGGGAGCAAAAGGCAGCCCCATAGCAGGACCAGGGGCCACATGGTGGGCGCTGGACATGCAGGAGCACACGCGGGAACTGGAAGCTCCCAGAATCACGCGGGGCTTTAACTTCCTCCAGAGGCACTAGATCAGGACCAGGAAGGCGGGAGGGGCCTGCAGGTCCCCGCTCTGCGCACAGAGGGAGGCGCCTCTGCCATTCCCTTTACTTACCCTCGGTGCGCCCCAGCCCCGCGGTTTACCGCAACCCCCCCATCCAAAAAAAACCACCTGAGCGCTTCTCCCAAACCCGTACCCTTTCGGGGGGAGGGGGTCTTAACCATGCCCACTGCCATGCACCCCAGAGGGTCTGTGTGCAGAATCCAGGGAGTCCAAGACTGCAAAAATTACATACTGACTTTTACTAACCTTTAAGTGGTTTATCTTTTCCTTCTATTGTGCTAGCAGTGTCTGGGACTTTGTCACCAAAAAAATCCGACACTGGCACATCACGTTGTCGCCGATAGCTTGAAATATCGTATGTGCTCCTCAGTACGTGGAAAATAATTAGTTACCAGGCCTGCCACTAGAACTGGTTATTGAAAGCTCTAATGAAGCACATTTACTACTATATTACACACATAAACATTTTGATAACCACTTCAATATTGTTGGCTTTCTTTTAGGCATATGTGTATTATTTTGTATATTGAAAAGATAATTATTCCGAGAAGAGGTCCATAAGCTTTACCAGACTGCTAAGCGGTCAATGGTACCGAGGTGAGGGGTCCCTCTGCCAGGGCCCCACACATCCTCCTCCTCCACCGCTTCCCGGAGGACGCAGTACCGCTTTTAGTCACCGGGAGGCGCTGCGAAAGGGGCGGAGGGAAGCCGAAGGGCTGGGCCGAGCGGGATCCCTGGAGCCACCTGCAGGCCGCGCTGTAAGGCTGGTCTGCCCAACCGCTTTAAGTTGTCTGGGCATTTAAAAAAGTGAGTAAGCAATTTCTTATCACAGAATTGAATCTTGCTTTAAAGGACCAAAACACACACGCACACTAGAGGGAGCCCTGACACATCGTTTTTCAAAATAGCTCTGTCGGGGGTTTTTTGATTGCAAGGTTCATACTGGTCGAAAGCAAACTTTTACACAATTCAGGAATGTTAAAAAATAAATTTAAAAAATGGGAGTGTTTCCTGTAATTCCCCTCTCCCTTGGAAAACCAGGGTTAACATTTGGCATATATGCTTCCCCATGTACAGCCGGAATTTTTCTCACTTGCTGGGTTAATATTTGAAGCATTAACCCAGTTGTTCTGGGAGGGGAGATTGTGCGTGTGCACTGTGTGAGTGTGAGTGTGAGTGTGTGTGTGTGTGTGTGTGATTCTGGCAATGTGGGGAGACGTGTCTCAATTTCACAATGGGCATTGAATGGCAGTGGCCCCGGGACTGAACTCCATCACAAGTACAGACAACAAAAGTTGGGGCACCTGGGTGGCTCAGTTGGTTAAGCATCTGCCTTTGGCTCAGGTCATGATCCCAGAGTCCCACTCCCTGCTCAGCGGGGAGCCTGCTTGTCCCCCTCCTCCCGCTTGTGCCGTCTCTCCCTATTTCTGTCTCTCTCTCCCAAATAAATAAATGAAACCTTTTTTTAATAAATAAAATCTTTTTAAAAATATCAAAAGGTAATCCATTTTTGCAGTTTTAAAAACACAGATTAAAATAATATTTATTCTAGCCTTTGATTATTATCTCTTTCTTTCCTGTTTTTGTCCTTATACAGAATAAACTCTGATCTTCTTACTTTTCTTAAATCCTAAGTGATTTATTTTAAGCAGGGGCCAGTATCTGACACTTCATTGTTTTCCAGCGTCATGGGCCCTGAGCACTGACATTTTGAAATATGTGTTATGTGGTTACAAATTGTTTTCCTTTTATTTTTTTCCCTCTATTACAGTTCAGGTATGGTATTGTGATTTTTAAAAATTAAGTGTACAAGAAGGCATATTATTTATGGTTGTCATTTACAGAGAGTAAAGGAAGTGTTACCAAAAATTGTATTTTTATGAAGACGGTGTTGGGTCCAATATGCATCATTCCTGTTCCCTTCATGCGTATTGTGAAGTCCTTCCCTCTACCCTCCCAGCCCCACACCTAGCCAGGAGCTAGGCTTGAGGACTGCATTAAAAACAGATCATCAGGCTCAAAAGTGGTGCATGAGTTGGGGAGAAGGGCCTTGCATGGAACATTGGTGTGGGCACTGCAGCTAGTCCTACCCCATGGGGTATATGAGGAGCAATGGATAGTCCCCCCCGCCCCCCACGATGGGTTTGGGGATCTGAGAGGAGAGCATACTTGTATCCTGCTTCCTCCCTAGAGTATTGGGAGGTGCTCTGCCATCATAGGATGGGCTCCTGGCCCTGTGACCCTGTGGCAGCCTCATCACATCCTCATGACATCTGTGAGCCTGGAGGTGCTGTGGCTGGGGCGGTGGGATGGGCGGCAGACCCAGGCAGGAAGGAACAGCCACACCGCATCCCAGAGGAAGTGGAGAGCCCAGTGGATGCTGGCATGGGCAGGTAATGGTAAAGGCTACCCCCCGCTTTCCTAGGTCCTGCTGGTAATTAACAACCTCCAGGACTTAGAACCACTTCAGGGAGGAAGGAGAACCGGGGAGAACTGTCAAGTTTCCTTGGAGCCATCTGAGAAAACCTGCATCGAAACTGAAATCCCAGCTGTGGGGTAGGGTTTAGTAAGGCCTGTTAGCAGGGCAGACAACATCTGGCCAGACAAGAGCCCAGCTAGGCAGCCACCCCAATCTGGTTCCCCTCTGCATTGGACTCGCTCGGACTCAGTCACTTCCGCTGATCTAAGATGGCAATTGGTTCCTCTTAGATCAGAGTTTCTCAACATCAGCACTACTGACATTTTGGCCTAGATAATTCTATGTTATGAGGGGCTGTCCTGTGCATTATAGGATGCTTAGCCGCATCTCTGGCCTCTACCCACTAGATGCCGGTAGTCTCCTCCCTGCCCAACACCCCGCCTCCCCAGTTGTGACCATCAAAAATGTCTCTAAGAATTGTCAAATGTCCCCCCGGGAGGCAAACCTACTCTGGGTTGAGAGCCACTGCTTTAGATGATGACTGAATCGATGGAAAAAAAAAAAAAGTATACATGGTGTAAGTTGTGTTTATACAGGTGTGCTCACAAGGCTTTGGATGGAGCAGAGTGGGCAGATTTAGGCAGACTTTCTGTAGTCACAGGCCTTGCTAGAAGACTGCAGCCCTCCCCCCCCCCACCCCCACAATGGGGCTGGGGTCGTCCCTGTCACACTCCAGCTGCAGAAGCAGTCCAGAACGCACACTCTGCAGGCGAGCCAGCTCCCAGGAGAGAGAGAAGAACAGAGGGCTGGGTGAGACATGCCTTGTTTCTCCTTCCAAATTCATCAAGCAAGTAAGCAGGGGCATAGAGAAAGACCAAGGGTATTATGCCTAGTGGGCCTCTCCCTTCTTGGAAGGAAACATCAGGAGTGGGGATGAAGTGTCCCCCACAAAGACGGATGAGCCACAGGCTGGAAAAAGCCTGCATCCCTGAATCACCGCTTGGGAGAAAGCTGCCCCGACAGTTCCCCAGTCTGCAGCAGACTTGGTGTGAGCCACAGACAGACTTCCAAGTGTTTAGCCACTGAGATCTTACAGTTTGTTTGTTGCTGTGTCATAGCCTAAACCACCAGAGGGTTTGTTTTCTCACCCACATCCCATTCTCTAGCCCCAGCGCCAGCCAGTTGCGAACTCAATCTTTCAACCTCCTCCACTGAAACAAATCTGAAAACTCCTTTTGAGATTTTTATGTTGACTCAGTGACGGACTTTTTACTTCTAGGAATGACGGTGAGATGAAGGGAGAGGGCAGCCCAGAACGCGGGGTGATTCGGACCATCCTCCGTCAGAAGCTGGATGAAACAGACATGTATTTTAAAATCTTCGCAAAAACTTTGAAAGCTAAATGTAGTAGTGGGGTCCCCTGGATTGCAGAATCTATCCCCAGAATAGAGAAAGGATATTAGTGGATAAACTAGTGAAATCCTAATAAAGTCTGGAGTTTAGCTAATAGTAATGTACCAATGTTAATTGCGTTGTTGTGACAAATGTATCAGGTTATGTAAGATGTTAACATTAGGGGGAAACAGAGTGAAGGACATTCAGGTACTATCTGAACTATTCAGGTACTATTCTGTACTATCTTTGCAACTTTTCTGTAAATCTAAAATTATTTCACAATATAAGTTTTTTTTTCTTTTTCTTTCTTTCTTTCTTTTTTTAAAGCAAGCAGTGAAGAGCGAACATGAGTGTGAGGGGTTACCAGGCCAAGGTCTACATGTAGAAACCCAGAAAGATGAACTGAGTGTGCAAGGCGCTTTTGTCCTTGAGAGTATTTACTGATTCAGAAGCAGCAGCAGAGGGGATGAGCTAGGAGTCTGTGGCCCTCCAAGAGTCGGGAATCTGGTATATGTATTTTTTTAAAAGATTTTATTTATTTATTTCAGAGAGTGAGAGAGAGAGAGAGACCGAGTACGAGGGGCGGGAGGGTCAGAGGGAGAAGCAGACTCCCCTCTGAGCAGGGAGCCCGATGCGGGGCTCGATCCCAGGACCCCGGGATCATGACCTGAGCCAAAGGCAGACGCTTAACTGACTGAGCCACCCAGGTGCGCCTGGTATATGTATTTTTATCACATTAGGCTAGAATCCCAAAGCGCTGCACTTTGGGAGAAGGTTCAACTGCAAATAAATGAGGCCAACCATGGACTTTCACTCAGCCTCCTGCCATTTAGGTGCCTCCGGAAGCTTCAAGCTTTAAACTTGAATTTAAAACGGTCCTGATCTGGCAAGACCCTCCCTACCCCTACCCCCAGATAAAGATACCAATGAAAAATCCTTTCTGGAGGAAAATAGCATCCGCCTGAGTCTCCAGTTACTGTAAAAATTGTTTTTGCAAATACAATCCAATATACCATCGAAGACAACCAGCTGTGTGAGGAGACAAGAGTCCATCAGCGAGACCGTGCAGAGGCAGCTGAGTACAGATGCTGAAAATAGCAGGTGCAGCCTT